ATCACCTTGGCGTTGGTGGCAGTGGTGATGCTAATTCCATGATCCTTAAAGAAGTTTATTAGCTGTTTCCTCAGCCTTTCAGTTTTTTGTGGCTTGGAGTTGCGTAGAAGGATCACTCCGTCGTCCCTGTACAGCCCGGTGCACTTACACTAAAATATATCTGAGCCACCATAGAAGCAATATGCCGACTAGTTCACAAGCTTAACCTCTCTAAGGCAAAATCAGCAAATCCATAATTGAACGTGCATGTTTTTACACCAGGAAAGCAACAGGAGTCAACTAGTGGAGAAATACCAAAGATGCTATGTTGGTTCACTAATATTAAAAATAAAAACGCGTGCACCTTTATGCAATTCGACATATTCAACTTTTACAAGTCAATCACTGAAAACTTACTAATGGCCGCTATAGAACTGACTAAGAACTATTGCACTATCACAGACGAGGATAACACGATAATCATACAAGCCCAAAAGCCCATCCTATACTACAATGGTTCTTTGTGGACCAATAAAGAAAATACCAACTTCTCTATTGCGATGGGTGAGTTTGACAAAGCAGCTCTCTTTTTTAAAAAATAAATATAAAGTATATATATTTATACACACACACACACACACACACACACACACACATATATATATATATATATATATATATATATATATATATATATATATATATATATATATATATATATATATATATATATATATATATATATATATATTTCAAAAAAGTAAATATAATTTATAAATTCATGAATCATTCATACAAGAAACAAATATAGAGGTTAATGATTTAAATGGCGAGAATACATCTTTGCAAACAATATAAATAAGATACACCAACCCCGAACCTGTATATGAATGATATGATCCCTGTTTATAAATTCCAGTTGCATAAGGTCTTTTTAATTTTTTACAAGCTTTCGTCTGTTCCTACAAACATCATCAGGTATGGAAGTAGATTTTGTTCTTGTTTTTACTTCTCAGTAATAAGATGATGTCTTTAGGATGTCTTTATTTGTTTTTTGTATGAATGATTCACGAATTTATAAATATATATATATATATATATATATATATATATATATGATATATATATTAGGCATATACAGGGATATATATATATATTATATGTATATATAGGCATATATATATGTATATATATATATATATATGTATATATATTTAGGTATATATATGTATATATAAGTATATATATATAGGAATTTAGACCAACTACGAAATCCAAAGAAACGTAACGTCGAACAACTAAACACCAGGGTCTCCCAACACAAAAGCAACATAAAATTACCAGAAACAGAAAACTCTTTGTATCACAACACATCTATAAATGTAGCCAGGGTGACTTTAAAATTATGCCTATATAATAAACAGACAATTATTCTTACCTACAAATACAAGAAAAAAACTTCATAGACAAATTTAAACCAGCACAAAATAGATCGTAACCCCACACACAAAAGAACACAACATGCACACATAATGGCCAAATACAGTGGTCAAACCACTTGCATCAATGCCCACAAACTCACACGCGGGTATATGTGGGGCACGAATATGTATACACATATTGGCAAAAACAATAGACTGCTCACAGGCGCACGCGCAAACCCTACACAACACGGAAAATGTGTGTGTCTATATGTATGCATATATATATGTATGTATGTGTACGTGTGTATCCTAATTCTTTATAAGAAGACAGTATGTATGTATAGAGAGGGAGTGCACATATACATACGCGTACTGGTATATATATACACATGTTAACAAGAACAAAACTGCTCACGTGCACACACGCGAACCCTACACAACATAGGAAGTGTGTGTGTGTGTGTGTTTTTTTTTGTGATTGTGTGTGTGTGTGTGTTTGTATGTATGCGTATGTATGCGCGTGTGCATGTGTATGTGTATATTATAGTGGGTCAGCCAATTTATATTGGTTATAAATAGAAATAAAAAACTGTCCCTCTACAATTTTTACAATATCAAATGTAACAAAGACAACAACAAGAGAAATAATCAACTAGAAGAAAATGTGAATTTGTTCAACAATAAATATTTTTTTATAAACACAACAAATACATAATATATAGTGCAAAAGTTGATAAACACAATAGAGTTCTTTGGTGTGTGTGTTACTGAAAGAATTTGAGCTACTGTACTGTATGTGTGAAAATGACAAGGTTTAGTTAGCTATATTTGTTTTTATAGGAAAATTAAACAGATGTTTTTTGTGTATTAAATAGAAAAATAAGTATTGTTCTTGACTCACTGATTGTTATCGCTCATTAAGCAGAGATTCTTGTGGAATGGAATATTTTGTGGGAGTGAGCGTTAAGCCTGGAGATGGTTGACAAAGTTTGTTGTTGTATTGAAGATAAAGTTCGTCTCCTTTGCTGTGTTGATTTCCAATGAAGTCAAGTGAATTGGTTTCAATATTTTAAGTGCCCACTGACCAAGTCGCGTCGAAGTTTCGTTTTTATTAGTTCACTTGGTCACGTGGGGAGACTCGTAAACATGTTTACATTTTATGGCGTCAACTAGAGGTCAAAATTTGGGTCGGTACCTTCGGACGTAGTTGACGCCACCTAATTAATATTTTACAACCAATCAAAATACATCAGTTGTTATATTTGGCTCTATATGTTTAACTTGCACAAAATTTAAGATTTAAAAAAATGTAGGAATCTGATTCTACAATAACCCCCCCGCAGATTGTGAAAGTTTTTGAGAGAAAATTTTCTCAATATGTAATATACGTTTTAAATCTACTAGGCCAATGAACATGTCTGCCAGACTTAGTAGTAACTTCCGCGGGTGGCACTGAAGGTGCAAGCTGCGCTGGCTGGGTCGAAGATGTTAGCTCAGGGTCAGGAAGCGATTTATGAGATAAATCGATGTAAGCCGGTTTCAACCGGTCGACTGACACTGTGTTAGGCTTTCCGAGCAAAAGCAAAGTAAAATGCTTGGACGTTCTATTAATTACTTTATGTGGACCAGAATACGTGGGGGTTAAGGTTCTTCTAACTGCATCTTTTCGCAGGAAGACGTAATCACAACTGTCTAAATTTTTCGGCATAAAGAACTCCCTTGTTTGGGCACGCGTTGGAGTAAAAGCTAGGTTTTCCATTTTTGTTTAAAATCCTGGACGAAATAGGTAGTCGGTCTGGAAGGAGTATGCTTTTCCACGAACTGTCCAGGGAGTGTTAGCGTACTCCCAAAAACAAGTTCTGCTGTAGTGCATCCTAAGTCCTCTTTGACTACATTTCTTAATGACAGTAAAATCAGTGGTAGGTTTTCCAGCCAAGTCCTGGAGTCATCACTTGCTGCTAGTGCTGCCTTAAGTTGCCGATGAAATCGTTCCACAAGACCGTTTGCACATGGATGGTAGGCGGTTGTAGAAATGTGCTTTACGCCTAACAAGTTTATAAATTCATTGAAAAGGACTGACTGGAACTGGGAACCTCTATCAGTGGTTATTATTGAAGGACAACCAAAGATAGAGATCCACTCTCTAAGAATGCACCTGGAAATCGTTTCCGCTGAAATACTTTTTAAAGGAACGGCTACAGGCTAACGAGTGAAACGATCGATTATTGTTAATAAGTATTGGTACCCATCAATGTCGGTCAAAGGGCCCACTAAGTCAACGTGAATGTGGGTGAACCTACCATCAGGCTTAGAGAATGTACCAGGCGGAGACTTGGTATGCCGTTGTATTTTAGTTTGCTGGCATTTTAAACAAGTCTGTGTCCAGAGTTTTATGTCACTGGACATTTTTGGCCAAACGAAACGATCACTAATCATCTTAGTAGTCGCTCTTCGACCAGGGTGCGACAGAGAATGGAAATGTTCGAATACTTTTTTTCGCAAAGAAGGTGGTACATAGGGCCTAAAGTATCCTGTGCTTACATCACAATAGACAGTAGTGTTACCAAATGGCACAGGGTGTTGCTTTAACTGTAGTGACGTTTTTTCTTTTACTGATTCCAAAGTAGTGTCAGTCTTTTGTTTTTCCGCTAAGGAGTCGAAATTCAAGGTCTGTGCGTCAATTGACTGTATCGTTGATCGCGATAGGGTATCAGCTACTATATTGTCAGCCCCTTTTACATAGCGGATATCCGACGTATATTGGGAAATATAATCCAATTGTCGGATATCCCTTGGGGTATATTTGTCCGACTTGGCGTGCAGAGCATAAATTAATGGTTTATGATCTGTATAGACCACAAAATTCCGTCCTTCCAAAAGATGACGGAAATGACGGATTGCCAAGTATATTGCCAGTAATTCCCTTGAAAATGCGCTGTACTTTTTCTGAGATGAGTTTAGCTTGACTGAAAAGAACGAAATAGGTTTTTTAGCATCTCCCTGTTCCTGGTGAAGCACAGCCCCTGTGGAGTCGCCTGATGCGTCTGTTGTCAGTGTGATCATTGAGTCATCATCGGTTATATATGATAACTTCGTAAAGTTGGCAAGGGCGTCTTTGGCTCTGTGAAAAGCAGTCAGTGATTCGCCTTCCAAGGTAATCTTTGAGTTCTTCTGACGCTGTTGTTGCAGTAAATCTGTGAGGGGAATCAGAATCTGGGAACAACCAGGAATGAACCTCCGGTAGTAATTAATGAGGCCTAAGAATCGGCGTGACTGCCGGAGTGAAGTTGGTTGTGAGAAATTTGAAATAGATTCTATTTTCTCAGGTAAGGGCGTTATTCCCTTTTCGTCAATGACGTGTCCCAAAAATTTAAGCGAGGGCACAGCAAAAATACATTTCTCCGCGTTAATCTTAAGGCCAAAATGCTGTAGACGCTGGAAAACTTGTTCAACGTGGTGACGATGTTCAGTCTTGTTTCTACTGGCGATCAGGACGTCATCAATATAGGCAAAGGTGAAAGGTAAACCTCTCAGCACTTCGTCTATAAGCCGTTGGAAAGATTGTGCAGCATTCCTTAAACCAAATGGCATTCTCACAAATGCGTATAAGCCAAAAGGAGTAGTTATTGCTGTATTATAGATGTCTTCCTTGGCCACTGGTATCTGGTGGAATGCTTTCACCAGATCAAGTTTGGTGAAGACTGTGGCGCCCTGCAGACCCACTGCGAAATCGTGCAAGTGCGGGATGGGGTATTTATCCGGAATTGTAGTAGCATTCAGCTTCCGGAAGTCGCCACAAGGTCTCCAAGCTCCTGAGTCCGGTTTTGGAACCATATGAAGAGGAGATGAGTAAGGACTCGAAGAAGGTCTAATTATACCGAGGTCCAGCATGTGCTGAAACTCGTCGTTCGCCAGTTTATATTTATCAGGCCTCAATCGCCGTGGAGATGAATGCGTGGGTGGGCCCGTAGTATCAATGTGGTGCTCAGCATTGTGACGAACGGTTTCTGTATACCGGAATGGTGTTGTAATTTGAGAATATTTTTGTAACAGATCCTGCATTCCGTTGGCTTCAGGTAGAGTTGCGCTGATACATGTGCTCGTATGAATAGATGTAATTCCTTTCCTTGTAATGTTGGTCGTTTTATCCTCCAAAGAAAGGGAAGACATATTAACGGACAAGTTAAAGTGGGCGAGGAAATCCGCTCCTAGGATTGGGGTTCGAACTTGGGCTATCGTGAATACCCACGGAAAAGATCGCCTAAATCCCAGATTAGGGTTAAAGAGGTTTCACCATATGTCTGGATTGAAGATCCATTCGCCACTTGTAACGTATAATCTGTCTTTCTAGTCAACATATTAGGCTTGGCTGGTATTACACTAATTTGTGCCCCAGTGTCCACTAAAAACAAGTAGCCGGAGTTCTCATCTCGGATGTAAAAGAGACGACTTTTTGGCATCCCTCCTGCTGCAAACGTCTCTACTTGTTGCCGGGATAGTCGTTTCCCGACTGCTGTGTGTTGTTATCCTTAGCTGCGTTTATGTCGAAGTTACACGGTTTCGTACAATGCCGCGCTTATTTTCCATATTTAAAATGATACCAACAGGTATTAAATATAGGCCTGCTTCTGGATGTGGAACGTGATCTTCGCCTAGTATGATGTGATGGACGTGGTCGACTAGTGAAATTGTTGGGTGTGCGATTTTGCTGATGCATAGCGGTTTGTAGAGCTTGTAACTGTGAGGTAATCTCGGCTATACAATCTTTAATGTTCGATAACTCTTGTGAGTCACGGACTGAAGAGACAATAGGTTGTAGTGGTGTCGCAGAAGCAGTTCCCGGAGGTTTATTCTCATATATTTTGTCCGCGATTTCTGCCAATCGCTGTAGGTCCAAATCGTCCGGAAGTGACACTAATATTTGTGATGTTTGCGGGCTCAGTTTATCCATCCATAGTTTACGGAGGACTGTGTCAGACATGGTATTGTAACCTAGTAAAGCTTTCATCTTTCTAAGCAATTGGGAAGGTTTATAGTGTCCCAAATGAAGGTTGTTAAACAAATCGTGCAACCGACGTTCCTCTGATTCTCCCGTGCGGTATAGTATAGCATCTTTCAAAGTATCATACGGTTTCTTCGCCGGCACTTCACTGAGGAGGTCTGCTACCTCTAATACTACATCTGAGGGAAGTTTCTCAACTACAAAAGCGTAACGGGCATGTTGAGACGTGACCTTTCTTGCATTAAAAATTGCGTTTAACTGCGCAAACCACACTTGAACGTTGATGTGGTTGTACGTCGGTAGACTGATGGAAATTGCCGCTTCAATATGTTCGCTGGTAGAATTTTCCATTGTTTTCGTTTAAAACGTGACAACTAAAGTATTTCTCTTATACAATGCTGTTTTTAAAATATTGCTTTGCACATTTAAACTTCGGGGTCACCAATTTATAGTGGGTCAGCCAATTTGTATTGGTTATAAATAGAAATAAAAACTGACCCTCTACAATTTTTACAATATCAAATGTAACAAAGACAACAACAAGAGAAATAATCAACTAGAAGAAAATGTGAATTTTGTTCAACAATAAATCTTTTTTATAAACACAACAAATACATAATATATAGTGCAAAAGTTGATAAACACAATAGAGTTCTTTGGTGTGTGTGTTACTGAAAGAATTTGAGCTACTGTACTGTATGTGTGAAAATGACAAGGTTTAGTTAGCTATATTTGTTTTATAGGAAAATTAAACAGATGTTTTTTTTGTGTATTAAATAGAAAAATAAGTATTGTTCTTGACTCACTGATTGTTATCGCTCATTAACCAGAGATTCTTGTGGAATGGAATATTTTGTGGGAGTGAGCGTTAAGCCTGGAGATGGTTGACAAAGTTTGTTGTTGTATTGAAGATAAAGTTCGTCTCCTTTGCTGTGTTGATTTCCAATGAAGTCAAGTGAATTGGTTTCAATATTTTAAGTGCCCACTGACCAAGTCGCGTCGAAGTTTCGTTTTTTATTAGTTCACTTGGTCACGTGGGAGACTCGTAAACATGTTTACATTTTATGGCGTCAACTAGAGGTCAAAATTTGGGTCGGTACCTTCGGACGTAGTTGACGCCACCTAATTAATATTTTACAACCAATCAAAATACATCAGTTGTTATATTTGGCTGGGAGCCTCTATGTATTTAACTTGCACAAAATTTAAGATTTTAAAAAAATGTAGGAATCTGATTCTACAACATATGTGTATACTAATTCCTTATAATAAGACAGTATGTATGGAGAGGGAATATACGTATGCGTACACATGCTGACAAAAACACAACAAAATAGCAATAGTTCTAAGAACACACAGGGGTCATTAAAAGATAAGAATATAGATATCTTCCTCACCCTTTCTCGGACCAGTCTTAACTGTTTTATTACCCTTCACGCATAACTTTTTCACTGCCAATTCAAGGAAGTCATTTGGGTCACTAACACACACAAATAGAATGTCTAATATCGAAACTATTTGACATAGAAAAACATAAGAAAAATGAATTCCTTTTAATAATATGTGGAAATATCCACTCTTTGCGTGATGAAGGTCGCGAGACCGGAAATGCGTGTAGCAAAATTATGGAAAATAAAGCATAATATATTTTTTAAAGAAATTATATATATATATATATATATATATATATATATATATATATATAATATAAGTATTTATGTATTTAGACAGCAATCCTTCTTTCATGGACATTTCATTGAATACGATAGACAAGGTGCTTTGATTTAGTTTTTTATACAATTTCGCATGCGATCTAATAATTTTTTTCTTTTCAGATGATATATAAAAACTCAAGGACACATGGCACAGTGGATAAAGGCGTTAGTTAGATCCAGTGACAGGACCCAAAGAGTGTGAGTTCAATACCTGGTTATGGCGGTGGAGGACTTGGAGAAGGGAATTAACAGGAGATAACTGATAATTGGCATCCATTAGACATGGCACGTGGAACTAGAACAGTCTACCCCAGTGAGCGAAATAAAGGGTTCAGTTCGACATTCCAACCACCTGAAGGAGGCCGGAGCTTACAACGGCCGAAACGTTGTGATAAATATGACAACAAAGATGAGGACAATAGTCCGAATAATATAAATAGTGTATATAAAAACTATCCGACTGTTCTTTTTTTTTCCAAGCGCTTTCGGCTATACATTTAGCCACTTTTAAGGATGAAATATTTTAACTGTTAAATAAGAAATAGTTTGTTGCATGTATGTATTTATATAATATTTTCATTTTTCGAAACACGTTCAAGATATTATGTCCATGTTCATAGTTGATATTATTTTATTTTTTTTATTAATAAAGCTTCCATTATTCTTAGCCTTTTTTGCATGTAGATGATGCTATTATATTTGTGTTGTCAACAAGTATGTTACAAATAGGGTCCGGTAGGTCTCCAAGAATATTTAAATGAGATCTAATTGAGCTATTGTAGGACAGGTGTAGTGAGTGTCTTCGTTTCAAACATGTTGTAATATGCCCTATATAATTATTTACGAATTTTGATTAATCAGGAATACATTTCCTTAATGGACATTTAAATTCGTAAATAATATTTGATCTATTTAATTTTGTTCTAAGAGGTGAATTATTATTTTTACCTATAAGGTTAAAGGTTTTAATTTTTTTATAATAAATGAAACTGAATATAATGAAGCACAGTACCATATCAACATAAGTATTAATAATGATGAACTTGACCATAGAGAAATAATTATAAAAAAGTTGTGCAACTTATGCAACGGAAATATTTTACTTCCCAACAACCATGATAAATACATAAACCTATCTAGTCACATATTAACACATGATCAGAAGGAATTTCTAAATCTAGGACCAAATTGCCATCTCCAGCCTAAATTCGATCTTCTTACAAAGAAGACTACACATCAATCACAAAGAAGACTACACATCAATCAACCGGAAAAGGACAAATTAATAATACTCCATTAATAATACACCTCAAAGATCTTCTCAAGGTAGAAGGTCTAAAAGATTATATTCCACGTAATAAAAACAAGAACATTTCAACAAAACTCAAAATTGCTGCTAAAGAATTGAAAATCAAGTCATCAGAAAAGCTGATAAATCCAATATTTACGTAATTTGGGATAAATTGGATTATCACAAAAAACTTCAGCACCTCATTGATGATCGTTCTAAATTTACTAAATTGAATAAGAACACCGCTGAATCTCTAAAGAAATATGTTAATAAACTCATAACATCCAGCAATACTGTTGCAGGATCCCTAAAAATAAGCAAAATTATTGGGGATTACCAACCTGGCTACTTAAAATACACAAACCGGGATACCCATTACGACCTATCATTTCTCAGATTCCAACATGCATATGCCAACTATCAAAATTTCTCAATGATATTATTACTCCATATCTCCCTACTAAATATAGCATTAAATCTACCCATGAATTTCTCCAAATACTTAAAAGCCCCAAAATAAAAAAAAACAAGGCATTCTTGCGTCACTTGATGTAGAGAATGACTTTACTAACGTTCACATCTCCGAAAGTATTGATATTATTATTAATTCGTGTATAAAAATAATTTAATTCCACCTCCATCAATCCAACCCGATATTTTAAGAAAACTATTGCTCGCTTGCACCACTAGAGGTCCGTTTTTTAGCCAGAATGGTACTTTACACACGATCTGATGGAGTAAGTATGGGAAACCCTCTCGGGCCGTGCTTCTCCAATTATTATATGTGCTATGTTAAAAACAAGGTTTTTACTAAAGTTATTAAACCTAAAATATATGTTTGTTATGTAGAGGATATATTTGTTTTAACTGAAAACAAGAAGGAAATCGAAAATCTGAAAGCTAGATTTCAACAAAATTCCGTCGTAAATTTTACTTATGAACTTAGTGAAAAAAAATAAACTTCCTTTCTTAGATGTTCTCGTCGATCTTAATAATATTTTAAAAAACTTGTTTATAAGAAACAAACTAGTAAAGACTCTTGACATTTTAATTTTTCTAGTGAATCTCCTCTTAGATATAAAATAGGTGTTATTAAAATTTTCCTCGCGAGAGCGAACGAGAATTCATTCCCTGGCACGCTTTTCTTTAAAGAATTAAACAACGTAAAACAAACGCATATTAATAACAGATTTTCTAATGAATTGTTGGATTTCCATATTAGGAGTTTTCTGTCTAAGGTAGCTAATAGCAACGACGAGAATAGCAACATAAACAATACGATTAATATTTTTTATAAAAATCAAATGAACGAAAATTATAAACAAGACGAAAGTAGAATTTTGAGTCGGAAAGTTTTGTTTGCACATCGCGTTAACTTATAAAGTGTGACTTTTTTAATTGGTTTTCTTGACCCTTGTGTTCCTGTGATTCATTGTTGTTTCATTTGTGATT